AAATAAAATAGTTACAATTCAGATCTATGACATACAAAAATGACAAGATCGTAATGAAATAAACGTATTTACTGTATACTGTTATGAACTGATTGAGACATATTTTATACGTCTAGCTAGATCTTTGTACATATATGGTAATCTTACATTATATAGCACCAAACATGTCAAACAGATCCTAGCCTAGAAAACCTACCCAGGAACTACACTGCACTAGTATCTCCTGTAGACCATGGGTTTGATAGAACACCTACATAACATCTGGTCTTGATCAACACTAGAATGAAATGAAGGAGTTCAAAATATGTCTTACAAACACTCTTTAAATCATGTTATAAATCACAATATTCAATACAAATTGAATATCTTTCCATACAGAAATTACAAAAAATATTAAATCCTAAAAAATCTCATCAATGCTAAATAACATGCAATCTAATCTGTTTTCTTCATAAAGTCAAGTTTGAAATATAATAAATCCAACCATACCTGACTTCATTAAGGGTCTTTCTACCTAAACCTAGGTTTATTGATGCAAAAAGAAGTAAATTTTTACAAGAAATTCAAAAATCAAATTTGGAAACATGCCTTTTTATCCAAGATGGCCGACCTACTCTCTTAACCAATGAGATTGGGTTAAGAGTAATTTACAGCGGGAAGTTTAAACAAATAAAAGTTTCAAACTATTTAGCTCTGTTACATATATTCAGAATTCCCCGAATATAGGTCAAGTATGCCATACAGCCTCGTGTGATAAACAAAAGAGTGGCTAATTCTGCATTTGACACCTTCAAATTATCCCTGACTTAACACAAGTCTCCTATTGTTATTCTCGTCACATCTGATTTCCTTTTTTGGTCAATTTTGTGTCTTTTTGACACCTTCCGTCAAATATAGCTGTGGTTTGGCCTTTTCAATTAGTAGTCATGTGATATTTTGAACAAATGAGATTGCTTAATTTCAAACATTGTCAAAGCATCATTTAACACAGATTGGCTGGTGAAAAAGTAAGCAATCTGTCCAACAATCAGAATAATGACACCTTTAACATAAGTACATAAGAACATAAGAACTTCGAAGAGACTGATTCATAATCGTAAATACAAAGAGAATGTCTTTATGTAATAGAGGAACACGAGGTTAATTTTAAAAACAAATTCTCCGCTGGTGGTTGACCTTATATAAAGGCACCTTGGAGATCAACTTAAAAACAATAATCCTAATAAACTATAGTCCATACACTTGTTGTTGGTCTAAATATGTTTATTTTGTAATTTAGTGAAGGGTGAAAGATCCTGTGAAATTTTCAGACAGAAATGCATGTGATTCAAAACAGAACTGACTATTTCACAGTTGATACCAGATATGACACGCGATCTATGATTTTTTTGTTTGTTTTACTGGTATTTAATAGCTACAGTAAACACAACTCCTATGTCCCATCAACCAATATAATGCAGATGAGATTACCAGATGAGCAAGTTGTATGGGCGGTAGCCCTCAGTATTCATGAAACAAAGTGCAAATATTTGGTTTTATCAATAGCAATTTATAATACTAGGAGGAAAGTAACAAATTAAACTTGAGGAAACTTAATCGAGTCTCTCGCTTACAACTAAATGTAACTTCATTGATTTTGTTTGTGCTCCTGTAAACGTAGTAGTTCCTATAAATGTTTATAAGAAATTTTATTTGTATGGATATGAAAACGTTCTTGTCTAAGTTTAGACATTTCAAAGTTTCTCTTCTAAAAATGCTTTTAACTCAATGGATCCGCCATGTATGCAGCCCACTTGGCAGAAACGGTGGTCATTTTTTAAAAATAAAATTTCGCTTAGCTAATTTGAGTCCTTATATACGATCGATTAAGACAGGGATATGAGCTGATATTCTGCTATTACATGCATAAAGGTATGGTTCCTATAATTATGCTGAAACAAATGTGCGGTTGGCACCATGCATTTGTAAATAAGGAATACCACGGCTACTGTGGCCGTCACTCAAAACCGAAACATAGAGAAGGCTTTGGAATTAAGTAAGAGGAGACAATTTTTCCCAGATAGATTGATGACATGAAAGAACACAACCATAATGAAGTGTAAAATATATCACCCTGAAAAAACCGAATCTCAATTTCCATTAATCAGGCAAATAACATATGATCAGTTATTGGCGAAGAACTCATAGTTGTTTTAAAAGAGGATAATATGATATAACAGGGTAATCGTTGGTAAGATTTAAATGACTTAATGCAAAATTGTCAAATTTCCGAACACTGCTTCTGGACTAAGATGTCCAGGCTAGGTGAAGATAGAAGTTTGGTTTCCCGAAAATTAAATGGTCTCCCTAACTATACCCCGTATTGGTTGTGCACTATTCACGTCAACAGGGTTAAACTCACTAAACTCACTAAACATTACTAATTAGTCTTTTATCTATGCCTAAGAGTTCATACAGAACTGTATGTATTTATAAAGTAGCTCAATTACAATATATATAAGCACAAATGCCAAAGGGAAGGGTGACTAAAAACTTTAAAGAAACCCAACAAGAAAAGCAAACTGTAAGTGTAAATCTGTCATAAGAAAAGTAGACCCTATATATCCCAAAACCATAATCTAACGTGAAAAGAAACTATGTCTAACATCCCTCTCCCCCTCCAATTGAGAACCAATATCACAATCCAGGACCAGAACACCAAGGGACTTTTCATTCATACTGAAGTCATTACAATACATGTTGAAGAAAAATTTAAAAAAATTGATAGCCAATACTCATAACATCAAAAATAGTTGTAGATACTAGTACTCATAAAAGATAGAGTATTCAGTCTCAAAGGATGATGAAAGAACACAACCATAATGAAGTGTAAAATATATCACCCTGAAAAAAACGAATCTCAATTTTCCATTAATCAGGCAAATAACAAATGATCAGTTATTGGCGAAGAACTCATAGTTGTTTTAAAAGAGGATAATACGATATAACAGGGTAATCGTTGGTAAGATTTAAATGACTTAATGCAAAATTGTCAAATTTCCGAACACTGCTTCTGGACTAAGATGTCCAGGCTAGGTGAAGATAGAAGTTCGGTTTCCCGAAAATTAAATGGTCTCCTAACTATACCCCGTATTGGATGTGCACTATTCACGTCAACAGGGTTAAACTCACTAAACATTACTAATTAGTCTTTTATCTATGCCTAAGAGTTCATACAGAACTGTATGTATTTATAAAGTAGCTCAGTTACAATATGTATAAGCACAAATGCCAAAGGGAAGGGTGACTAAAAACTTTAAAGAAACCCAACAAGAAAAGCAAACTGTAAGTGTAAATCTGTCATAAGAAAAGTAGACCCTATATATCCCAAAACCATAATCTTACGTGAAAAGAAACTATGTCTAACATCCCTCTCCCCCTCCAATCGAGAACCAATATTTCAATCCAGGACCAGAACACCAAGGGACTTTTCATTCATACTGAAGTCATTACAATACATGTTGAAGAAAAATTGAAAAAATTGATAGCCAATACTCATAACATCAAAAATAGTTGTAGATACTAGTACTCATAAAAGATAGAGTATTCAGTCTAAAATGATGTGGGATAGATAAAATCCAGTCTCGAAGTCCATAGGCAATTCAAAGCTTGACAAAATCTTAATGGTTTTTCCGGCTTGTATGAGGGACTGTAATGAATGTAATTGTTGAATCATGGACTGATGACTCAGAATTATAACATCAACAATATTTAATAATAAATGTTTCTCGATTGTACAGACTACAAAAGAAAATGAAAAATTCAATGTTCAACCCCCATCATTTCCATAATAAAAATAGGCTAGTTGCCGTTATATTTTCTACCCACAGAAAGAATCGACATGACCCCTGCGACTGCATTTTGAGCAGGTCTTGGTTCTGTCTATCCCTGCCTTTACTCTCGCAAGTCTGGCTCTGATAGCTAAACCCCAGGCTGTCTGTTCAAGATTACTAAGTGTGTCCCCTATTTGCATCAACGACGTCTTTCCTCTTGACAATTTTTCATTCCTTTGAATTAGGATACTAATTGGAGTAGTCGGTTTTGACGCATTGGATACCGCTTTCAATATACTTCTGGCCCTTCAATGGCAACTGGCGTTTCGGGCCTCCTACGTTGTATGAAATGGAGAGTCTTGTCTAAAATAACGTGACCAAGAGTAAGCAAAACCCTTCTTTGGCGATATAAATACACTCCCCCGGCTACCAGAAACACCAATGTTATCAGAAGTCGAACAAACTGAATGACCTCGACAAAACCGGTCTGCAATGTATTTAAGTTGACTCCATAACTGATTGGTGCTTTTAACCAATTTTGCTGGTTATGGAGGTTCTCAACTACGCTGGACAATTTCATGCTATATTCTTGATCCTTTTCTGAAGGATTTTCTAGCTGCAAGGGTGGTTATTGGGGATAAGAAAGAACGTCCACCACGGTATCCGAAACACCCAAATCCATCAATGGAGCATGATATTTCAGAAGAAAAGCCACATTCTTTATAATAGGAGCTGACCTCTGCGTGACCTTGCAAGCACTTGGGTGGTTATGAATGACCTCTCGACCCCAGAAAATCTTGCATTAACAAGGTAACACTTCAATACAAGAGGGCGATAAACAGAGGGGAAAAGACCCGTTTTGACACTGCATAGAAACATTGCCAGTGATGTTATGGAGAAACACATATTCATCAACTATTTCTACAAAATCTTCAGCTGAGTCAAGTATGACATCAAAATCGCAAGTTTGTGCTGACCTTACTAATCTTTTCTTGAACAAGTTTAACACACAAACTTGATCATGGATAACTCTTGGGATCAACGGTTTAGAACACCGGCCATCACAAGACAAATATTCAATTTCATTTAAAACCATGTAATGTTCCTTTTCAATAGCCAGATAGGCAGGTATATCCAGTACTCAGGTACTCTTCTTGGTATTTCCAATGGACACTGGATTTTGCAAGACTTCATAAACCAAATATTGTCCACTTTTATGATGATATGGAATTGATAACATGATGTACAAGGCTAAGGCAATGACCTTCACATTCTTATAATAATCTACAGGGACTTCATACACTAACGAATATTGATCACTCAATTCTGACTGGATTACCAAAACGACCTCAGATATAACCTTTTCTAGCAGTGACGGACTCAAAAAATACAAAAGGCAACTGACTCTTAAGGATGTTATCAATACTCGACAAAAAACTAGCATAAGCCATCTCAATTTCTGACATGTGTCTAGTTTGGGAATGGATTGCCCTAGCTATGAATAGTATTAACCGCCTGAATTGAACAATATGCGAGTTAGCGGAAATAACCCTCATGTTTACATCATCCAGAGCCACAGAAGCATTTCTAAATGCTCTAGCTATTTTTGCCTGATTGCGACCCATAACAGATACCAGATTTTGAATGCGAGAATCAGTAATATTAGCAAGGGTTAGAACACTTGATCTCAACGCCCTTTGGCCCCGGAAAAGGGTCCGTTGTCCTTTCTTTAGGTTTTGTATATGATTTGATAAAATGTCAATATCTTTCGAACTAGCGAGTCCGAAAAATCTATAAACAGGACTCATGATAGTGCCTATGATGTTCCGTCTCTTCCTCTGAGATCTAAGGTCTTCATACGCCGGCAAGGCGGCTTTCGCATCGGCAGTCAGTTTATGTAACTTCATTTCCAGCTCGTCTCGATCCTGCTTTAGAGTAACAGCATACGATTTGGCTAATTTACAATTGGACGGTGACACTGCATAATTGGCATTTCCATGTCGGGGAGATTTGGCGCCCATTTGATTCCGAAAGTATATTGGAAAAATTCGGTATCCAATTGAATCGCCTTTTCAGGGTGGAATAAGACACCACACTTCCACTTGCTACTGGAGATTCAGTAGATGTAAGATTTTTCTCAGCTGGCACGGGCGTAGATCAGTAATTTGTGGGTTAAGCCAGAGTGTTGAGTAAGATAGTGAATTGGATAGACGTCGTACTATGTGATTCCGCGAGGATGAGAGTTTTCTCAGGGTACACGGGCGTAGAATTGTACTGCTTGGTTTCAGTTATACTGTTTAGTAGGATGGATGTCATTTTGGTAGAGGTTGTTATGTGATATTCTGTGGGTGTGAAATTTTTCTCAGGTGGTTGGGTGTATGTTTTTGTGGTATTCTGGGACGACATTGTTGATGTTGGTTGTCTGACACGGGTTCTTAACACGGCGGTAGTTTCGGTTTTTAATGAGGAAACGAGGTGTGTAGGGAAACTGGCGACAAAGTAGACAATGCTGGTAGTCTTCCAGGTGACGTTGTTGGCGTCTCCCTTAAAAATAGTCAAAATTGTATATGAAACAAGGTATGGCTAGATAATGAGGAGATAATAACATAAATGGGACTGTTTGATCCCCATGGGTCAGATTGAACTAAAATAAACTATGGAGAATTTATTCTATTGAAATTAATAAAAATTTATACATAATGCTACTTACGTTTTCCAGCAGACTAATGTTAGGTTATTGATGCAATTACACGCTGGGTCACAGGCCAAGCAAATCGGTGTCATGAGAGTCAGCAATATTGTAGTCCACATGTTGGTTTGTTAGGTCCAGAGATAAGAAACGGCCGTATCAGGGAATATGAAGCCGGAACTTAGAATTATTTGCTCTACAATTAGTATAAATAAGCAAAGAAATAGAGATTTTGTCTGTTTAATTTCATATGTGGAAATCAAGAGAACGTTCCGATCATGTTGACTTTTCATTTTCAGATGTATCCTGGTCACGGCACCAGTGTTATTTTATTCTATATGTGTGGTTGATTATAGTACAACAGAGACAAAACGTTTAGTTATAAGTCATATATTTCTCCAGTGTTATTTCTTCCAAAAACCCGCTCTAAGTCTTTTTACCACCAAATATATTCAATAAGCCTGAGCTATATTTAGGCTCCAGCATTCTCATTCTCCAATAAGATCTTTGTCTACTTAAACCAAGTTCTTAAAGATACAGACTTACATTAAAAGTTGTTTAGTAAATATGGATTATGCACTCTGACATGCAGGATTATACACATAATAATCATACTAACAAATATATATCATACAAACTATTGAAACATAACCCTCTGATTATAACACCGAGTACCCTTGGGCCCCGTTGCCATAGCAAGCATATCTTTTTAACCAATCACAGATGAGCAACCACATCATGACACATTATGTATAGATATTTATATTTATTTTTTAGATTCTATTTATTGTATTTTAATTCAATTGAATAATTGTATCTAAAGTCTTTGTCAACTTACAGCTCTTGTTGATAGGCAGGTTTCTGGCTGGTACCCACGCATCTGTGGCCATATTTCTGCAATCTCCACAGCTGCAATGAAAGTTTAAATTTCCATTGGGTGGCCTCTCTGGTTCAGGGTTCTTGTTTTGTTAAGACATCTAATATCAAGGAAGGATATTTCTTAACAACTTTCAGAAGAGTGTCCTGTAGTTCTTGTTTGGTCATTGACCAGTGTAGACGCAATGGTTTATTAATGGATGGTCCGTCAATTGACTGATCATTGTTTCAATTTTTTTATCATCCGTTAATTAACGGATAAAGAAAACCCGTTAATTTGAATTGGAAAACGGCAAAATAAAAGACTGGGTCAGTTATTTATGTCTTGGAATTTAATTTACTGCTGTGGAGAAAAACCAATTACATCCGACGAATGTGCTGCATACAACGCATGTTTTCCATGTGTGCTTTTACATTTCTATGTGTGCTAAATATTTTACAGCCTGTCAAAGACAGCTGGTTGATTCCAGCATGAAAATCTCTTCATCATCATGCATTATTTTAGGAGTGTAATTCAGCCATACATGTATGTCTGGCATGTACATATGTGTACGCAATAAAAATGATTCGCATGTTTATTAGTAAATAATAGTTACATTGAGTTCAGGATTCCACGCTATAATAAGAAATACAATCTTATATTTAGGCCTAGAACTTCACCGTTCATTCACGATAAAAAAGGAAGAATCAAAGATTTTATATTGTATAGTGCAATATGTTACGCTCTGAGGACCAATATGTAACATCAAAAAGATAAATAATACATATAAATATAATTAATTCTAACATTGGCGACGGCATTTAAAGCGGTCATACTCCCTATTTTAATTCCAATGCATGTGTATTGCACCCCATCATATGTCAATATTGCCTTTAAAGTTTCTTTTATACGATAACTTTCCGTATTTCTGTTGTAAGAAATTTGTGTCCCAAGAAAGGAATGTACTCTACGTATTAATGGACTGTCTGCCATGGATCATCGCAGAATTTTAGAATTTTCCTCATCTTAGGAAATAAAAAATTGATGTTAATTTACGGACTGCAAAACAATCATTCCCTGACTCATTTTACATTTTCATTTTTCTATTTGTTATCTACAGACAAAGCAAGAAATGAAAAAACAAAAGCGATTACGACATTGGTCGTTCGACAGACGATATTAAATGTAAGATCGGCAGAAACTACAGTAAATCTATTTTCAAACCTTACACCATGACAAGTGGTCAGGATGAGATCTTTTTTTGTGTGCACTTCTAGCTCACATTGGTAGTTATTATACTGCTCAGCTAACTCAAAATATACAATAAGTTCAGACGAAGCGCAGTACACAGGATAAACACCAAAACAAACAATTTTGATAGGGAGTGAGTGGTTTAAGGTTTGCAATTAGATGTACTGTAATTTCTGGCTTTTACATCCAATATAAACCACCCTCCGATTGTGATGCATCTATTTTAAGCTTTTACATCCAATACCTGCCCTCCTGATGGGTTGTCTTTTTTGGCAAATAATGTAACTAGTTTCATCAGATAACATGCAATGTTCGCTTTAGAAAAATCTTTTAATATTTGCTATACATCTGGCCATAGATTTAGCCATTACTTATTGAATTGATCTATAGTTTTCTCCCGAGTTTTCTTCTGCAAATAGAAACATTAAAATTAGACCCCTTCTAAATCTTGTGGAATTACATACTTATAAAACTTACCTTGAAAGACCCCCTATTGGCTAATAAGTCTGACCTTCTGACCTAAGCCTGTATCTCATTATCATAAATTATGAATTAGACCCGTCTTCGATTATTTTATTTATCATTATTCATTTAAAACATATATTTCTCATTAAATATAAAAACAAATTAATATAATTGTTCAAGGACATCGCAGAAGACATTGTTTGCATCATAAATTCGAAGAAAATTTTGATATTTTTTCTTCTTCCTGTGATATTCCGTTCAATTTTGAAGTGAACTCTTATTTTAGTGGAATGCAGTCTTGAGCCGACTCATCAAATATAAATTTGATTTCATTGTTCAAGAAAAAACTAAGACAAGAGAATTAATTCTTTCAACGAGTTTTTCAATAAGTCAGATTAGAAGATTTTACTACGAAATTCACAACTCATGTTATACTTAGAAAGTAAATTGGCAACATCTCAATTATTTCAATAGTTATAAAATTGACACTGCCTTGTGCGATTGCATTGAGAATTACTATTTTAATATAATCTAAACTTTTCATTTTGAAGGAATTTGATAGGAACCTTTAGAAAATACATTTTACATCAACGATAAAAATAAATACGCAAATATAATGACTCCGGGACTATGACAAATGTGGAATGAATGCATTCATAGCTAAAGTCCAATGAATAAATTTGGCATATATTTAGGTGAAAAACACTACAAAACAAGAATGAACTTTGGGTTGGTTCCCAAGCAGTAATTTCGTCTTGATACAGCGTGAATACACAAATTATACAAAATTTTATTATGGAAAGGATATATTCTAAAATGGGGTTTATAAAATAATGATTTAAATGACCAACAAAAGACCAGGCCGGGTTAATTTCTTAAACAAGTGAATCGTCTTCCCAGGATCGTCTTATTCCGGTCAGTTAAATGTTCGTGCTATTAAACAAGAAATAATCTGACATGTCTAATACTATCACTGTACAAGCTAGTAACTGTGAAGTCCATCTCATGTACGGATGAAACATTGCAACATATTGGAGTTTAAATATTCTATACGCAAATATCTCAGTGTAACTGGTCCCTGGCCTCGGCCATGCTGGGCGATAATAAAGGACACCAAGGACACCCGTCAATTGACGGACAATTCAGAAACTGACAGAACATGAATCAAATTACAGGTACCCGTTATTTGACGGATGAAACGTCAAACGAAGTATTTATATTGGCATGCGCATTTGGGAAATCTTTCTATGAATGGCCCATCCGTCAATTGACGGACCATCCATTAATAAACCATTGCGTCTACACTGTTGACCCGATCATTTCCTAAAATGCAGTAACATGGAAAAATAATATATAAATTAAAACAATTGAAGGTACCTTTATAATATCATAGCTTGCTCATCACGTTTCTGTCTCATACTTGCAACGCATTGCACATCCACTTGGCTCATTCCATCTTGCCTTTTAGGATTGGCACTTTTTGGTTTAGCACCAGCCTGGAAAGATAGTAAAAGGTTAACAAATCCATGATGCATTATTAGCTTAAAGCATATATACTGCATGGCTGTGATTGTGTTATCGAGTATTTCCATCAACTGTTTGACATTAAAATGTAGTGAAGTCCATTTTATTCCTATATTATCATTTTTTATTAATTTAAAATCTAATCATTACAAATAAATACTCTTTATTCAGATTTTATTGTGGATAGATCTGTGACACAGCCTCATGTGGTAATCAAATAATCCTGCATTTCACACAATTTATTAAAAGACTCTCCTATTATTCTGGTCAATTTCTTTGGTCAATTTTGTGTCTTTTTACACTTTCTGCCAAATATAGCTGTTGTTTGGCCTTTTTCTACCATTATGGTGTTATTCCAATTAGTAGTCACATGATATTTTGAACCAAAAATAAGCAATCTGGCACAACAATCAGAATAATAGAATAATATCACCTTTATCGTAAGTATTGAACTAGTATTTATTTTATCAACACAGCCAACAAAATTATATATGTTTATTTAGTACTCCCTCTCCTCAGTTTAAAAGTCTAGCTTCATCAAAGCCCTGATTAAGAAATTTACTTTATAAAAATTAGCTCTAGCTGTTCTTAAAATTTGCACAACAAATACACCATTCGCTTGTCTTGAAGGAATGTTTCATCAATAAATTGGGATAAGAGACTAAAATGGAATTTGTCTCTTTTGTCAAAAGGTTTTGTAGTGCATACATGGTTACATGTAATAATTACATAATTATCATAATGTTATACTGTCTACCATAGCCTACTATGAGATTTAAAGTAATCTGACATTAACATAACAAAACGTTAAATTTGTTTTAAAATTTTGAAACTACATGTATTGCCATTATAATACATGTTCATTGCCATTATACCAATATATAACAGATATAACAGATACCCACTAAGATATGCAAAAATTAAAATATCTATCTATATTAACAGTAAAAATTTGAATTAATATCATGTGTTCATTGTCAATGTTAAGGGAATATTTTTATATTGAATTTTCTCACATTAGTACAAGTGCCAAGTGTCACTTTGATTTTTGGTATTGCCAAAACATTCTCTTACAAGTTTGTTGATTCTTTGATTAGCATCATGTGCATGTACTTTTACATCACTTTCATCGACATGTGTATATATCCGGTCTGTTCCAATCTTTGCATGCCTTTGTGAAATAGTGTCATCTTGCTTTGTCACATGTTTTGCTCTCAACACTGACATTCAAGTCCTATACAAATGACATCACAATCGTTAGCATTCTTCCTCCATCCGTGACGGGCATCAGTCATTATTCCTATACCATCATCAAGGGGCCTTGTTTTTTCCTTCTCTTCTTAAAAGGTAATTCTGCAGGATTCCAAGGCTGCAATTGTAATGTGAGATGCAAATTCTTGTGTCATAGTTTGCAGTTTTTTTCTATATGCCCAAATTGTGATGTTTAAGTCGTCATATTGACTTGGAAGCATACCTGATGTTATGTAACCATGACAAAATCTGTAATTTACTAAACTTTGACCATGCGGAAGAGAAGGTGATGATTTCCATCTGATTGTATGTTTGGCACCAAAAGTCTCTGCTTTGCAGACCTGGTTGTAAAAACAAATTCATGCACATTTTTTCTAACTACTGATAAATATTCTTGAATGGGCTCATTCTTGCATGCCTCATTAGTCGATTCACCTGGAGTGTTGTTCATTAATCAACAGCTGCAGCAAGGGGGCATTTGATTACTATCTAGTAAAATTTATACATAGAATACACAAGAGCTAAGTGAAAGATAATATATATATTGTCATAAACCCTATAGCACTTTGCAGCATTGATCTGCTACGACTGATCAAACTGGTCCTTGTTCCATGTACAGCTGAGTGACCAGAGACCATCTTGTCAAGATTAGGATGGAACAATTCAATACTAGTTAATCCATGATTTCATCTACTCCACTGAATTCTGGATTTATGATATATAGTATATATAAACAAATTGGGATATAATAGATCTAGTACACTTATTTTATACATACAGGAGCACAGGAGTGATGCCATGCTACCACTTTGCAAGTATCTTTTCACTTTCTATTAGGCCAGTCCTTCTGAATTACTTAATGAAAAATCAGTCTTTTTGCCAGCTGACCATAATCTAGCCTTCAACATGGACTTAATATCTTTCACAAAATGCATTGCAATGCCTGTTTGTTTCTTTTAATCAGTAAGGGCATAAATCACTGATGATTTTGTATATTACTTTTGAACTTTTATAAGATGCTGCCTTTCACATGCCCATGACTTGTGAAATTGTAACTACTAAAAATCTTGTAGAAATCATAAGCAAAGATGTTGCAGCTCATTTAGATAAAGAGTGTAACCTGGAATTGAAATGTGTTTAAAATCACAATGAAGAATTCAAAATTGCGATAATATGAAACTTTGAATTATGAAATGAATTTAGTGGCTAGAAATGTAGTGCAGGAAAACTACCCATTAAAAGGCCCCACAGATCGTACTGTATTCTCCAGAATTTATTGTTCATAATGTATAGTACAGTGCTCAATGTACTAGTAATCAAAGGTTACAATTATTTTCTGATTTAAGCTGCAGTTTAGAATTGATTAGTTTATAAACAAGCAGTTGAAATAAAATCTTATTTTTTTGTATTTCCAGAATCTATTTTGTATATTACAAACAGAAACTAACCAGGGCAAACTGATACATTCAACCATTCTGCAAGCTGCACATTTGCATCCATATGCAGGACATTTCCTAGGTTTATGACATATTCCACATCAATGGCAATTGTTTATTTATTATCTTAGGCTGTGTCTCAGTATGAGTCTTACATGCACTTTTCACTACACTTACAGTAGACTTTTCATGTTTAAACGCCTTCATCTGGAGCTTTGTCTGCTTCACCGAAATACACCGTAATGGCTTTAGATAAATCCAATTCCTCTGTGCGGAGAAGTCGTTCTCATAAATTATCGTCACTCACACCCAGTACTATTTGATCTCGTAATATACTGTCTGACAATTCTCGATAGTTACAAGTCACGATTTTGAGCCTTAGATCTGCAGATGTGGCAGCTCATATTGATAAAGAGTGTAGCCTGGAATTGAAATGTATTTAAAATCACAATGAAGAATATGAAATGAATTTAGTTGCTAGAAATGTAGTGCAGGGAAAACTACCCTTAAAAAGGCCCCACAGATCTTACTTGTATTCTCCAGAATTTATAGTTTTTTTTCTTTTAATTCTTTCCAGAATTTGTAGTTCATAATGTAAAGTACAGTGCTCAATGTACAAGTAATCAAAGGTTACAATTATTTTCTGATTTAAGCTGCAGTTTAGAATTGATTAGTTTATAAACAAGCAGTTGAAATAAAATCTTATTTTTTTGTATTTCCAGAATCTATTTTGTATATTGCAAACAGAAACTAACCAGGAAAAACTGATACATTCAACCATTGGAAATGCACACACCACTAAATATCCACCTTCAAGGACATACAGATGGGCATTCCTGAAATATATTATATCAAAGGTTTGTGTAATTTCAGGCTCACATACTAATATATTAGTTTTTCATACTCCTTTCATGCATTTTAAAATAAAAAATGACCCATAATGATTATTTTTTATTTCAATGGTTGAATATTTTACCATAAAGTAACATGCTACTTTCATCTGAACATCATTAAGGCTAACGTTTAATAATGATGCAAGTTGGTGTTGTCAATACATTTATACAACTTCAAATATCCATGACTGTGAACTTTAATATTGTATTCTTGGAACATTCTGGACAATGAGTAAAGCAATCCACAACAGTTCAGCGATACTATTATAACATTGTATTTTTATATAGCTTGAGGAAGAAGGGATTGAAGTATGTGATGCTATTTATGAAGCATCTGCCACACTAATCAATGAAGTAGATAATGGAGACTCCTGCTATAAAACCTACACACTGGTGAGTGTTAAGAATGAATCAGTACAATGTTTTGTCCTATGGTAAAGTTGAAACTCAAATAGATATTCAGAATGCAATCTGTAGCAATCCAATGATTTGTTTTCATATAAATCAGTCAATTCTGTTTGAATTTTAGAAAAGTGGCACTTTAGTGACAATTAGGGAAACTGTTCAGACTATATCTAAAGGAACAACTGGACTATCTACATGGCCAGCTGCTCAATATCTTGCGGAATGGGCATTGGAGAATCCTGAAGTATTCTCCAAAAGGAGAGTACTTGAACTTGGAAGTGGACTTGGGTTAACAGGTCTTTCCATTTACAAAACTTGTCAACCCTCAAGCTTTACATTTAGCGATTGTCATTCTGCTGTAATAGCATCTTTGAAATCAAACATTTTAACTAATTTGGAAGACATGCCAAAGGTTGATGAAAAACTCTCAACAAATGAAGATATTTCGCATAGATTGACTAAGTGTGGCACTTGTGAAATAGTACATGATTTACTGAAATCTAATAAACAAGTGTCTGTGATGGATTTGGACTGGGGAGACACCGATAGCTGGGTTCTTGAACACATGAATCCTGATATCATAATAGCTGCAGGTTAGATTTTATGTATTTATGTTCAGAACATAAATGTTACAATTTATTAATCATTAATGTAATGTGTAGTGTACACTTACTGTGTGTTCTGTACAGTTTTGTTGGTCCTTTCCTTTGGAAACTACTAAATCAGATTATCAGTAAGTTTGGCTCAGAGAAATATGGGTTTGATCTTTTACTTTTTAGATGTTGTTTATGATGTAAGCATTGTTCCAAACTTGGTGAATGTCATTAAGAAGCTGCTACTCAATAAACATTCCACTCATCATCCAGAAGCTTACATTGCATCTACTGTCAGGAATGAAGATACAAGAAATGCATTTTTAGAATGTTTAGGTAAATATTTTTCCCAAAACAATACTAACAATGACTTATATGACTAAGGTACCATACAAACCCTAAGAAGCATTTCCCAAAACAGAATACGTATTATGTCAGAACCACGAGTGACTGTAGTTTGTCTTCAGAGTAAGGCATCTGTAGTATATGGCAGGTGGTGACATTTTTCAAGTTAATTTTTGTATATTTTTATTTCATTACAGAAAGTGCAGATCTCAAGTTTGAAAAAATTGCTGGTCCACAGGAAGAAGTGTTCTTCTATGATAGATCAGTAGCCATTGAACTTCTACACATAAGGCCGGTGTAAACTATCTTTTGATTTTGTGTCATGTCAAGGTATGTGATACTGTTGGACCCCATGTCAGTCCAATAATTATTAAATTATCTAATTTTATAAAGAATTACAGTGATTTCATTAACTGCTTCCTTCAATGGAGAGGATGTAAATTTAAAAAATAATTACGTTTTTAGGACACCATTTGAATTTCGTAAATCACTTCGTGAATCCACTAAATAATTGAAGGAAATTCTATTTATAAAAGAAATAAAATTTTCTTTCGAACTTCCAAGAAGTTGATTTCTGATCAAAATAGTACGAGGCATGTGATAGGACAAATAGTTATCCAATACTCGATATCTGAGCAGTAATCAGTACGAGTCTTACGATTGGCCGCTAGCTGAAGACCTGATTTAAACCATTTTCTATTTGTTAAGTGCGATCACAAGATCATTATTTAAGAATGCGCATCATCTTCGTTTACTCGGCTCCCTTCGGTCGCCTTCGTATATTTAGCGCAAAAATCCTGACAATGTATATGGGGCCCGCCATGGCACATCCTAGAATGCGCCCAGTTAGCGTTCATCATTTTAAACACACCCGCTAGAAAAGAATGGACACACTATTGATACCTGACGCCGGTGAATGAGCGGCTGTTGTAGCGTTTGTGCTGGTTTCGGCCTCAAACTTCCAGTGACTGTGTGCGACAGTTCCGTTATCGTGTCACGCATGGCTAACATGCTTTCACCCATCGATTTAAACTTAGAATTCAAATCGTCATTTTGTCCTTGCTCTACGTCATGAATTCTGTTTATGTCTCCATAATCCTCAGCATCAACTTCTTGAGTAGCTGACTTATAAAGTTCCTCATATACTGTTACGTGCATTTTTTGGTGGCAACTTTACCCCAAGTTCCTCCAACTTTCATTTAAGTTCTCTGATGGTGGCCATCGTGTAATGGTAGTGATAAAGACTAGCATTATTTATCCTGGTGTGAGTATAGTATAATCCACTCAGTGAATTTGATAATTAAGATGATCGAATGTAGTATATTATAAGTATTAGCGATTCCCTGTAGCTTCGAGCTCTGCTACAAGAAATGTGAGATAAACAAGGTTTCGCTGACCTTAAAGTTCAAACCCCAGTCATGTGATTAAGACAGTGTTGTAATTCTTTTCCAATATAAACCAGGTTTAAACATTTAAACCAAAATCGATTTTCCTCTTTTTGCCCTTCGTCGCCTCTGTTGACTTGTCCTGAAGAGCACAACGAAATACACGTTACACAACTGCTGCATTGCAACTAACAAAGTCACATCCCCTTCAAACATTATCGAGGAAATCGAACCACAAAGCCACATGATAATTAACATCATATATGCAATAAAATACCTGGTACATTAGCCAACCCTCCATAATACGTCCTCATTCGTCGACAGATGCGTGGAGCTTTTCCAAAATTGTTATAATTTTGTTGCCTTTCTTCTGAACATTACTTAGTTTTCTGCGTAACTTCAGATCAAGAACCCGCAGAGCTGTAAGAACAGCTTCTATAGTTTGTCCTAATTCATATCCATCTAGTGTGGATGATTTGTGGAAATATTGATCAGACATCTCTATCAGAAGATGGGGGTAGAGTTGAATTAAATTCAGCAGCCCAGCACGCCAAGAGAATGCTCAGAAGGTAAGCTCCAATGAAGATTCTATAAGCAACCATGGTGCATCTTCCCTCAACCGTAAATGAAGGAATATGAGGAAAACACACCGTTAGGGTTTTGCCATCATAATTAATCTGGAGAAACTAATTATAAGCAACATAATTACCTTCACAGCTTTTGCCAATGTATTGTGGGATTTGAGGTGGGGCCCGCACAATGTGGGATTAATCACTGGATGTTAATTTTGTCAGGGGTTTTTAATGAGCAATAGGTCCCGGTGGCGGGGTCTCCACTGTAAACGCAACTCTTATATGATTACACAATCCACAAAACAATTAGAATTATATTTGCAACATATATCATGAATTACAGAGCTTTTATTTTCCTGTTTTTATTACAAGAAAAATCAACAAGTTCTTACTATCAGGCTTCAAAATTAAATCCAATGGATTGTCATTATCTATCAAAAGTTCATATCAAAATAATCTCTCAGTCTTATATGGAAATCAGATGGCTACATCGACATCTCAATTAGTTGGCCCAAATCACCACTCACTACGTCAGGGACTGGAAAATACTAAATACATGCACTTACGTAAATTATTCCGTGTGGCCGATCGCGCAACAAATCTGGACACCTGTGAATACACTGGCACACTCAGTCGGAATAAGCGCTACTAAATCGCAGATCTCGGAAGTACTACTCCAAACTTGAACACATCGACAATTATCCTCAATTATCCAAGATTCAATAATGCAACTATAATCCAAATAGCACGTTACAACATGTAAAATATTGTTACGCCGCCGTACAGGGTATGTCCATTGAAATATCGATGAGTGCGCACTTTTGCCAATAGAGATTTCTTTTATAACCCAGCTCACTACCTTTAACCGCGCGTATGGAAATAAGTCGCAAATAAGTACGCCGGATAAACTAAATAGACAATGGTTACGGTGACTAGTATGCAAAATGTAGAAAGAAAATACAAGAGATAAAACTAAATGTGTTTGATTGTATAAAAAGGAAGAAATGTGCAAGAAATAACGTGAAATGAACATAAAAATAGTTCCGGAAGAAAATTAATATCCGGTTTATCAATCAAAATTTATTGCCAAATAGTTTCACAAAATTCTCCGGGGAATACAGACTAATCACTATGATCTTCCTAAATTTATAAATTGGAGCACACATATATTAAAAATGAGTAAGTGGGAACAACTAAACCGACATACGGAACAAGAAATTGAAGATCCGAACAAAATCCTAATTTTTTATAAACAAACCACAGTTCGTTCAGTGTAACTCCCCGGGAGAACACAAAATTAAATTGCATTTTCATTACAGTATTATCGTACCCATCTTGCACTTGGTCTCCCTCCAATTCTTTACAAAAACATATCTAAACTTAAGATACATTTAGTTCATTTCACATTTTATTATTATGTCTTCACAAGAGCATGTCACCTCACGAAAGCACAAGTCTTTCTGATAAAAACATGTCTAGACTCCTACCCATTTAGTACACTTCACATTGTATTATTATGTCTCCACAAGAACATGTCACCACAAAAGCATGTCTCAACTTAAAATTTATATATACACTCTTTACTTCCCCTGTTGAAAGTGTATCTTCATAAACACATTTCATACACTTCACATTGTATTATTATGTCTCCACAAGAGCATGATACCACAAAAGCATGTCTCAACTTTTAAAGTTCATATATACACTCTTTACTTCCCCTGTTAGAAACATATCTTCATAAAACATGTCTAAAACTCTTACCCATTTAGTACACTTCACATTGTATTATGTCTCCACACGAGCATGTCACCACAAAAGCATGTCACCACAAAAGCATGTCTCATCTTATAGTACACATATACACTCTTCACTTCCCCCAATGAAGCACTGAACTGAAATATAAGCCATTTTCACGATTTAAAAATTTACTTTGCTCATGCTCGGCTCTGAGAAAGCATGTGCTTGTTATTGTCCATATGATCATATCATTTGATTGGACATCATATACTGATGGGTGTGATTTAAATACATTATGTTCATGAATTATGGGACTCACTTCTGACAAAAATAAATATCTAAACACAGATGCCAAAGGGTTGAAAGACCTGGCTAAGTCACCACAAGAGCATGTCACCACAAACGCAGGTCTCAATTAAAAGTTCATATATACACTCTTTATTCCACCTGTTGAAAGCATATCTGTATAGATTGTGCTGATGGAATTACCATTCCCATTTTCTGTAGCTGTTGTTAAGTTAATGAGACTGGAGCTCTCACATTAGGAATAAGACCCTGTAAATGAGGTTGAGTAACTGTACTTGCTATTGGAGCAATCTTGGCAGTTACTCGCTGATGGGTAGCACTTGCCATTTTACTCCGGTCCAATGAGTATGTCTTGATCAGTGCTGATCAAGTGTCCAAAATGACTCGACACACAAGAATTCAAATCCAAATGGCCTCATGAGGAAAAAAATATAGTGCCAACTCTAACTTCTCCCTGTCTCTCTCTCAAGAGAGATCAACCCTAACATAAAGTTACCTGACAAAATGTTTAAAATTGAAAAAAACTTACAAAATAGTTGTACTGAATATAGAATCTATAGAGAGCTCTAACTATAACATGTATTAACCTGACTGTGCAGCGGTACTATTCATGCTCCGAGTGGAAGGGAGGTAGCAATACCAGGTTAAAGGTTGCATTATATTCAAGAGTAAAATATGACAAGCCAACCCCAGGTTGCAACAGTATCCTCCATTATTCTATTATCAGTGTTTTGTGAATACATACATTCTTTGGCCTTTATTCTCGGTTTTCCCAAGTAATCAAGCACACTTTCATCTTGCTTTTGGAGACAATTTTGGAAATTATATCGTGCAATTATTTCATTTGGTTCTGGATCCAAATGTTATGTTACCCTTTTCATGAGATTTCCAGCTTTTTGTTTCGGTCTTTTCTGGCATGAACATATTCCTCAGTAAGCGATTCACCTTTCACCACAAACATTTAGCAATATAGCACGTTTTTGTGTCATTTTCAATGTTATTGACTATGATATACTGTTCCAATTAGGGTTGTTTCAAACTCGCCAACTCCAACACCCGATACAGACTAAAATCCACTGTAAATCATGTCAAATATATTTTCAATATTTATTTTCAAATGATTTAGGTGTAAATATAATTAAGAAATATACACCCCACAGGGCTAGGCACAAACATTTTCCATAGTGTTCGAAAGCGTTTGTGCCTAGCCCTAAGGGGTGAATTCGAAATATTTCCCCTGTTCTTAGGTCAATATTACCATTCAAACATGAAAAATCACCAGAATATTACAAACTCATCAATTTCAATGTCCATTTCCACTCTTCATTTCCTACTTCCGGTTGAGCTTTTGGCTGTTCCAATTTGTTTACTTACCTCCTGACCCTGAATAGATCGTTTTGGAAACATTGGTTAAGTACCCTAGCTGATCTTTTATTAAAAATTGTGCATCAGGGTGTTTCAGGTTACAGTTGACAAATGCCCTGATAGAAAACTTGGGATCGGGACAATTTTTTGTTAACCTGCCATTTTGCAGACGAGAGGGGGATGCGAAAGACCGG